TCGTTTCAGTGAGCATAACCGGCCAGTCGCCCCCTTTCCTCTCCATGTAAGCAAGCTGAATGCCTTGGGGGGCGAACGTTGACGTTTGAGAAACGACCCATAAAATTAGACGATCGTTTTGTCGCCTATCGCCGCCCGTGTAACGCCGCGGTTCGACGCGATGCCTAACCTTTCCCCTAAATTTCTCCACGTTCGAGCTTGTTTATCGTTCAACTCGTCATCCCTCGAACGCTCCACCGCTTCTCCGTCGGCAATTCATAATCATAACCCGGATCCGTGTTATTTGCGTAATTAGTATTCCCTTTTAATCACGCTATTAATTAAATTGGACCGCGGAGCGCTCGTCGTGCGCCACGCGTGGCCGTGCGCGTAGAAGAAGCTCATTTGAATTTTCCCCCCTGTCACACCCCTCGAGTTATGTAACACCTGAGGAGAGAAAGTAAAATGGAGCGATCTTCAACCCTCGCAACCACCCGCTGCCTTCCTCTTTATCATCCCTTATGCCCTCCTTTGCTCGCGTAATCGCGCCTTCCAGAGCTTCTAATAGATATAATAGGAGACTATTTCTAGTTAACGAGCAATCGGGACTAACGTGTTTTTCAAGATCTTCTCTTTCCAAGATCGAACGGCGCAGGGAACCACGGCCGATTCTCTCCTCCATGGAATTCCATTTCCCACTTCTTAAACCTCCATCTCGGATAAAGGGGAACCGCCTGGTTCGAAGAAAATGGAGGGCCACCCTATGCTTTCCCCTTTTTACATCCCTTCTACGATCTTTTCCTCGGATTTCGAACTTTATTTCGATTGATTCGATACGGCAACCGTTTCCACGGGAATTTAAATATCTCCCTTTGGGAGGAGGCAGGCACATTCGTGCAGTGGCCACGAGTTTTCATCGAGAGTGAAGCGATATTTATTCAACAGCGAGGCGGATCTTAACTCGGAACGAAAGATCGCGCTTCATCGAATTCGGCATTCGTGCGAAACAATATTCAAAAATATATATTTTCCGTCCAGACTCGCGTCGCGGCGGATACGGGAGGGGCGTAGGTCGGCGATAACGAAACGAAATTCATCGCGAAAGCAATTTCACAGGTAGCCAGTTTCATTACGTAACGCGCGTGGCGATTCGTTTAGAAAGGGCGTGTCGAGGGACCGACTACTACTACTGCTGCTACGTTGCCCGGCTTTTATACACGCGCGCAAACCAGTGAAATTATAATCTACTTTTGTCCGCGCGATATTACTTAGACGCGTGCTTCTTTCAACTGGTACTCCTTTCCAAGGAACAGAGAGTCGAAACCGACGTTTTCATTAGATTTATCGAGTAAAAACCGTTCTTTCTTTCTTTCTCTCTCTTCGAGGAATCTCGTTAAGAAAACTACGTGGATTACGATTAAAAGATTATTCGAAGGATCGGGTAAACGATTTTACGTAATTCGTTCGTATTAAGTTCACGGTACAGACTGTAGATTAGAAATCGAAAATCGATATCGAGGTGCATATTCTCTCTGTCTCTCTATCACTGTTCGAGAGGGAATAAGACGAGATAAATTGTGATCAAGGGAAATGTTAATCCCGATAATGAGTTTGGTCGAGTTTCCGTGCAAAATTGTCGGATTAAGCTTCGCCACACTTTGGACAGACCGAACGAAGGAATCGGTTATCGCTGGATTCGCAACCGTTCCTCTCGTTCTATTTCCTTCCTCAAGGAAGGAAGCTGTAACAATCACAATTTTCCGTTACCACCGCAATCTTCCCCCCCTCCCATTACGTTTAACGTAACGTCATCATCGAGGGTACAGAAAATCGGGTACAAAAGAGATGGCGATTTTCTATTTTCCACGAAATAGTCTTTTCTCTTCCCTCTTCCCGACGCTTTCGAGTCATGTCTTCGTTCGATTCCGATCGATCATTTTCCAAACGAGTCGAGAGAGCTCGAAAAAAAAAAAAGATTTATTCGATTGGGGAATGGAAAATGGGCCGGAAGTCGAGTGGCACGTTTGGCTTTTTAATTTGGCGGCCGGGACGATTCCTTCTCCGGACGAGGAGTTTCTGACCGAAATATTTCAGAGAAACACGGAGAGTCGATTCGAACGAAATTGGAGAAATGCTTCGAGATTAATCGAACGGATTAATTTTCGTCACCGGATAAATGCGAGAAATCGATTACTAAAAAGAATCTATTCTCTTCGGCTCGATAATATAACAGATTCGAATTTTTACCTTTTCGAACTCGCGTTTGCGAGATAATCGTGACAACGATCGACTAATGTTAGAGATAAAAGGGATTTCGTACGCGTTCGTCTCGATCGATTGGTTGATATGAACGAGACAAGGAAGGAAAAGTAATTGAAACATCGTGAAGGGTTAAAAGACACGCGATTCGCGCGTTTGCGGCTCGTTTCGTCCCAGACGCAACTTGAAATACCGAATACGGAAACGATTTTTACGTTGAACTTGGTCAAGCGACACGAGATTTTCCATCGTTTACGCGCCATTCCAATTCTCTCTGAAAATCGCTCGCTCGATTCGACTAATTGGCGATCCAACGTAGGAGGAAGATCGTTTCTCGAGAGTTATTCGAACGCGTATTGTTGTCCGATTTCGTCGTGGCCCCGCCACCGATCTTGGGAAGAAGGAAGGAAGAAAACGAAAGAGGGTAGAGCTCGTAATTTTCGTCCGGCTATAAATCGTGGCTCGAGGGAGAAAGGACTTTTCTCGAAAAGTGTTTCAAATGGGTGATGCACCGGCTCTTTCACCAACCTCCTCCTCGAGAGAATATTTGCCCGATTGCTCGGGGAGAAAAGTAGCGATGCTTCGCAACGAGTAATTGGACGTCCAGAAAATATATATATATATATATCGTCCGTTTTCGGTCTTGGCTCCACTTTCCACCGGATTAATGTCTTTTCACGGAAGGTTGTTGCGGTTATCATCGCGCTCACCTGCGCAGCAACCATGCCCTCCTTCAATCTTCTCAGATCCGTGTGGCTCCACGCGCTTCGGGACCAGGGGTGGGTATCCCTCAGGTCATCAAACCTGAATTCCCTCAGCTGATTCTTCAAGAACTTGCGTATGTTCCACGGTAGATCGTTGTGCCTGGAACAAATAAAAAAGAAAAACCTCATCTTTCCATATTTAAATTATTATTTCCAAACTCTCCACCACTATCACCATTTTCCACTGGATGCGATTACGATTATACAGGAGGATCGCGCGTTACGAGAACGCATGTGTGTACACTGCGAACACGAGGAGAGGCCGTACTCGAGGGATGATAGAACGGGAGATGGAGGAGAGGGATAGGAGGATAAAGTTTGCCCCTTACAATGGCATTAGCCGGCGTACAAGTTTCGCGACAAGCTTCGGTTACTCGGTCCCCGCCCTAACTTATTTCATCCTTCCAATCCTTCGTTTCTTTCGCGACCGTCCCCCGTGGAGGGACGCCGGCCAAATATTGGCATCCGCCGTTCGGACGCGTCAACATTGTTAGCCAACCAACAGGAAAGGGAAAAGGAGAGAAAACTCTGCTTTTCGAATTTTCCTTCTTTCGAACCACCGTTCAAATTCTTCAACGTATATAAATATCAACCCTTTGCGCTCGAATCACCTCTCGATTCGATAACTCGAGAGGTGACTCCCCGTCACCGCTTGGATCGACGCGACGATTCGAACGGCGACAATATTTGCTTTCGTTCGATTTTTTTAAAATAAATTCGTGAAGCGAATTTATTTCTAAATTCTTTGTGTATGATCTTACAAACGTGGAATGATATGATCGAATTACTAATTTTCGGCGTTAGTTCGAGTTTGACTGTCATGGGAATAGAAATATTTTCAAAGTTTTTCAGTTTTGTAATACGGTAATGAAATTAGTATTTTTCGTTATCGAATAACGAAATTATTTCTGTTTTTTAAGAAATTGACGATAGAGAGAAGAGAAATGAGAATTATGAAAATAGAGATGTAGTATAATAGAGAAGATGAAAAATAAGAATAATAGAGCACATTATTGGTATTGCTCTTAATGCTTTTAATGAAATAAGAAAGGTGAAAGATATGAAACGACATTTTATCGCGATATTTGTCAAACCGAGGATTCATCTTGGTAATTGCTTTATAAAATACCACACAAAACAACGCTATAGACTTTAATACCCAACAAATTTTCTTCTCTTTATACGTAGAAATACATAAAGTATTAAAATAATAATAAAAATTTTTATACATTTAACTTGAAATCATTTTAAGTTAGCTAAGAAATTCACCAAACGGATGCGTCTGGAATTGTTGGTTCGACGAAAAAAGCTTGGAGCGCAAAAGGGTTAATATCTATGGATGTTTGCATAATAAAATATACTACGTCGTATATTAAGTGTATATAACTAAGCAAACAAATAACTTCCTTCCCCCTTTTTTTCCACGATCGTAACTTCCAACCAGATTCGAATTACTTCCCCTTTGTAGCGTCGTCCGAAAGAGCATTCCTTCAAGAAGCGTCACGATGACTGCTCTAAGAGTTTCCCGTGCAACAATTTCAAGAGAAGCATATGAGAAGTTCGCGTCACTGTTTACCTTTTTGCGTTCCAGCTTAGAAAATCAGGTGTCGAAACTATCGAAAGCTGGTTCGTTTTCGCCACTGAAAGAGAACTCCCAAAAAATCGTAGCAAAGATTTAAAGCCGGAGATTTTAATTTGACGATGCATCGTTCAGATGTATCGAGAAAGTTTGGGTTGATGGCGAGTTAGAGGAATCGCTCGACGAAAATTCGAAGAATTGACAGAAAGTCGAATGGTAGTCTATCCGACTGAAACAATAATCTTGTATCTGATTTACCTAATAAAATCTTGAATTTGGAAAAAAAAGGAGAAAGAAGTTATTCTAATAAATAGATTGGCGCGATTGATTTTTCTATTATCGACCCTCGAGAGTTAGAAAGTTAGAAAGAGAGAGAGATCTATCTAAGATCTCGATATCTCCGCGTTACGAAGAGATGCGTAGATACACGGGAGAGAAACGGATGGAGAGGGGAAGGTGGGTGATATCCTAAGAAACTTTGCGTCTTGGAATTATGGCAGTTAGCCGACATCTAACTTGCTTTTACTTCGTCCCTCCCTCTCTCTCTGCGGTATTCTCGTTCCATGTTAATTCACTCGGTCGGACTTTACCGTGCGTAACACGGCTATCGGGTTTCCAGTTACAATCAATGTTACACCGGTTACGATCCCCTTCCCTGCGATCTCGAGACGCCGCTTAAGTTTAGATTTGCCGCGTTATCTTCCCCAATTTAGCACCGGGGCAAAGGTGTGCTCGAGCTACGTGTTCGTTTAAACGCTGACAGCGCGGTGCTCGACCTGTGTTAAGCTTTAATTAAACCGACTACTAACGATAGGAGGGGGGGGAGGAAAAGGGAGGTAAACAAGAAACTTTTCGAACGAATGAGAGCAAAGGGAGGGGGAGGAAGCGGATAAAAAAGAAAGAAAGAAAGAAAGAAACAGCGACACGGAAGGTTAATCCTCGTGAAACGAGTGTAATTAAACGGGTAGAGGATGTGGGAGGTTCGAGATTCTCGCGAGAGTATTCAGACCGGGATAATTCCAAGCACGCGTCTTCAGGTTCCGCCTCTGATTCGGGTGACGCGCGTATCTCGGCGCAGAATAATCGAACGGACGAGACAATTCGAATATAATCGGACGGATGACGCGAGATAAGAATCTCTCTTGGATGCGTCGTATTATACGCGTCGAGCAACGATTAATCGAGCCATGGGGGGGTTAAGCTACTCCTATTTCTTCACGGCATCGCGTAATTATTATTCGAGGAAATTCTGGAGGGAACAACGTTCCATTCCAAGTTTTACCCTCGATGCGCGTGACGACGAGGGAACTTTGAACGGCGCGACAACCTTCGACAACTTTGTTTCCGAGTTCCCTTCTTTTTCTTAATCCCATGCTCCTATCCCCGCGCGGATAGCACGCGTGAGTAATTCTGCGATGCCTCGATGCGATGTCGTGTTATATATATATATATATATCTATATGGAACATCTCGTATACGGGATAATCGATTTCGAGAAATTTTAAAGTTTGATTGAAAAACTTGCTCGAGGAATTATTCTGTTCCAATTGCCGTAGAAAAGAGAAACGGCAGATTAATATATTTACGTTGTTTTTTTCGCCCGCACGGATACTTTCCCCCGTTAAACGCACGTTTGCCATTTAAATATTTGCAGACACTTGCGCGGATGAGTTTCACGGAATACATACACGCCATATGTACATATTTCCCAAAGGTAAACGTGTACGATCTCCCTCGATTCTCTGAATTCTTTACGCGTTTTCGTCGCGCCTATCGTAATTATCAAAATCGAGGGAAATACCGAGACAAAGGAGCGTTCCATATATATATATATTTTTGACGAATCGATCGAGGGGATGCACAAAGGAATTTCGATGCGTGACAGAAGGAGAGAATAGGGAGCGCGTACACGCGTACGTGTGGAAGCTCAGTGTGCGCGTATTGTTGTACGCCAACAAATCTGACCTGAATCGGAGATAGATCTCTCCGACCGTTTGCCGTGAACCGCATCGCGCACGCTGCGGCGCTCCCTCCTCGATGCACTTTGCGAGCGGAATTTAACTTGGAATTAGGTAATCAAACGAGCACCTTTCTCGCTCCACTCGCTCTTGCCATCCATAGCGATAATTCTAAAAGTTTATAAGGAAAGTTGCCTCGCGAGCAACCGTTTATCGATCGAAGTACATTTCACGATCTCTTCTCCCATTTCTCTCGCTACGATAAATAAGATTAGAGCATTCGCGAGATCGGTCTGCGACTATGTGTAATAAAGGTGAACTCCGGATAACGAAGTTTATCATCTCGAAACGAACGTTTCCTCAAATTTTATCGTTGCGAACATATCCAGTTAATCGATTCATTCTCGCGATATTAGATTCTCGATTTGTATTTGTTGACTGGGAAGTGAAAACAATAGATAAGAATGTACAGATTTAATTGAATGAATATATTTAATTATAATTGCGCGTATCTGTTTAACATTTGAAGTATGTGTATCGAAGAAGAACAAATAGGTAGCAATTATGAAATAGTGATGCAACATTCAATAATAAAATTATATATAAAATTTCAGCGAACTTTAAATTCTATAAGAGTTTTTCGAGCAGAATCGGCAAGCGTGTCGTTCGCTCGAAATCATCATCGACTCTCTTTCGATCCTTCGTATTTACCGGTTTTTCTTTCCGTTTTGGACGATGGATCTATCACCCTCCACGCCGAGGTTACTCTCGATTCCGCTTTGAATCTTTAAGCGTTGCTGACGATATCCATTGGCGTGATTACCCTTGGATCAAACAACGTTTCGATCAATGCGGGATAATTAGGAGAAGCAATAAGCGTTAGAGGTGGATCGTTTCTCTCGTGATTGCACACGCATACGCGCGTAAGTGAATTGGAATCAAGCGTGTATTCTAACCTGTGTCTAAAATAATCGAAATTGTTAAACGAAATTCCAAACGGAAAATTCCTGAATAGATCGTTTTCGAAGAACGATTGGGAAGGAATTAGGGGAAATTTACGGGTCGAAAAGTGGATCGGATGGGAAATCGATCGGTAAATAGTTTATCTCGCCGTTTCAAATTTGCTTTCTTTTTTTCCCCCGCGAAATGTCAATTAATTAACGGCGCTGGAACCAGTTTCGACTTGTAACGTTCGGAAAATTTTTAATCGAAAAGCCTCGGCCTTTCCCCTCGGCGGTCATCGTTTATTGTTGCATCGCCGCGGTCGATGAAAGGATGGAAAGGGGGAATATTTTCAATTTTTAATCGACCGTTGTTGCGCGTGACCCTCGAACGGAGGATAACAATCGAGGGAGGGGCGGAAGAGAGGAAGGGAGATCGGCCCGATTTTTTCTTGGCTGGTTAACGAATCTTTCGAGGCCTCTCGTAAAAAATTATCCTTCGAAACGAGCGTCGAGGTATATCGAGGATCCAGGGAAGCGTTGGCCGACAGCCAGCCTCGTGTTTGCACTCATCGATAACAGGGTGTCGTGAAAATTCCCCCGCTTATTGCTCATCGTCGAT